ATCCTCAGGTGTAACATGTGATAAAACTGTGCTGTTCTGTAATAGTTGTTCATATTATAGTTCAGGATGACGGATCATCTTGAGGCTTTAGCTTCTCATTTTGGTCTCTAAAAGTGAATTGCTTCAGAGATTCTTTCCCATAAGTAAGCTTGGGTCAGGATCTGTCCTTATCTTGATAACCTCCCTCGAGAACCAAGAACATCAGGGTTTTTCTCCTTGTATCAATAGGAAGAATACAAGAGGCTTTCAAGCTGAGGGAAAATTCTCACAAGATCAAGGTTTGTTGGTTGCCAGGGCCCATATTGCTCCCTGGATAGCTTGTTTGGGCCCTGATCCCTATTCTGCCCTGGTGCTAGGTTCCTATGGACTCTCTGGCTCTTTACTGCACAGCTGGCATTTGACTAACAGCTTGGTCCTCCTGCCATGTCCACCAGGCTCAGTGGTGCCTCCCTGCTGCCTGTTGCCCTCCTGGCTGCTCGGTCTCCCTGTCTGTCTGCTCTGTCAGTTCACCAGGCTCTTGAAGGTTCTGCCTTCACCATTGGCCTGACTGAATTGCAGCATGGTCCATCTTTTCCAACCCTTCTTGTACTTGGCTCTGATCCTTCAGTTGCCTCAGCTCTCTGGACGTGGCTACGTGTCCTGTCTTTGCAAATCCCTACTGCCTTTATTGGTACTACTGATACCACGTCTATATGTAAAAACCCTATGATCTAGCAATTCCACTCCTACGTATATATTCAAAAGAATTAAAAGCAGGAACTCCAACAGATCTCTGTACAACAATATTCACAGCAGCAATAGCCAAAAGGTGGAAACAACCCAAATGCCCATGAACTAATGAATGGACAAACAAAATGTGGTAAATCCATGCAATGGAATATTAGTCATAAAAAGGAATGAAATTCTGATATATGTTACAACATGGATGAACTTTGAGGACATTATACTAAGTGAAATAAGCCAGACACGAAAGGACAAATACTGTATGATTTCATCATATGATGAAATATCTAGAACTGGCAAATTCACAGAAATAGAAAGTGGGATAGAGGTTACCAGAGGCTCAGGGGAGGGAGAAGTAAGGAGTTGTTGTTTAACAGGTACAGAGTTTACAATGGGGATGATGGGAAAATTTTGGGCATAGATAGTAGTGATAGTTACACAGCACTGTGAATGTAATTTGTGCTACTGAATTACACATTCACAAATGGTTAAAATAAGTATTATGTATATTTTACCACAATTCTGCTAAAATGATTTTTTAAGTCTCTTCTTTTTTAATTTTCTAAAAAGTGCTTTTACCAAGTTTTCTCCTTTCAGTGCCCTCTACTCACTTTGCAATACATCTGTGGACAGTAGCTGGCATACAGACATGCTCTGATATGAGAAACAGATGAGCTTATATAAGGATAGAAGTGACTACACGAAAAAGGCCTTACCATTTCAAGCAGAGTTTATTTAGCAGGACTGCCGTGGCCGTGCAGAGTTACAAAGACAAATACACTCATTAGGGAAAAAGTCAAGGCCTGCGTTTCTAAAGACAGTGGAGAAGCAGCAGAGTCAATTGAAAAGGGGGAAGGCACCATCTTAAGCCAGAGAGTGGGAACACTGAGCTCCTGCCTGCTCCTCCCCACCCCTATTCCTCAAGCTGCCTCCCTGGATCAGCACAACTGTAGGAGAAACCTCCCCTCCCAACAGTCATTCTGTCCCTGGCACCGTTGCTTCCCCAAGAGGGCAGCATCACTGGAACTCGTCCAAGAGCAAATGGATTTTAGGGATCAAAGACTTAATTCATATGAAAAGCAAGGTTTACAGCTGGGCAGAATTACTGTTTAGTGCTTTTCTTCCTCCTTTCTGTAATTTATTTCTGGTGCGTTAGAAAACCCTGAGGGAAAATGATTGTGGTTTTTTTTTTTTTTTTTTCAATTAAGACTGGCTCCAGTGAAATTTTCATTATACTCCTCAAACCTCAAAATTAAAAAGACACCATGAGTACTTATAGAAATGTCCCTAATGTTCTAAATAATGTCTTTAAGGTGTAGTCTATAATTTTTATTGTGTGTCTACATTTAAAATTCACTTTCTAAATAGGTAAATGGCAGTGTCAGGCAAGGATCAACACTCCATCTGTACCCAGAAAATAGAAGCACCAAGAGAACAGTAGCAGCCTACTTTGGTTTGTTTGTGGGAGAGACAGGACTAGAGCCAAAACCTCCTGACTCTTAAAATCCAGGCCTCTTTTCTAAAATACCATTCTGAACAGATGTAATACAGGGATCAAGATCAGGTTTCTTGGCCAGGGTCAAAGTGACAAGTCAGCAGTATGAGAAATTCTGAAGCGTGAGGGATAAAGCAACTAGAACTCAAAATCTTCAGGACTCAGAGGAACTGTTTCTGGGCTCTAACCTTTCAGGCTGTATGGGTTCCAACCAGCATGAGCCAAGCTGCCAGCCATGCTAGGATGTTGCCTCAGCTGAAGGTCTGTAAGGAGGGCATGAGTAGGCAGAACTGGGTAGGCCTCGGACTAAGGGAGCTGTCCTAGCCTTGGGCAGCCTGGAGTTCAAATCACAGTGTTCAAAATTACAGGGAAGCCTTGGGTCTGGATAGGGCCAGATTCTGCCTCCTAGTGTACGGACATGAGGTATCCCTGGTCTCAGCCAGTGGTTGAGGATAGTCAAATCCAGCACTGTGGAGAGAGAGAAAACTATAAGAGCTGGGAAGTCTATCTAAGCCTGGTCAAACAAGGGTCTGATTGAGAAGAAAAAACAGGCTAGACACACAAGGTGAGAGTTTAGGTATCATTTGGGAATGCTTCTGGCTATAAATAACAGAGAAACAACTAACAGGGGCTTAAACCTTACGAGCATTTGTTGTTTACTGAATAGAGTCCAGAGATAAACAGTCCCAGGATTTGTTAGGCAGCTCAATGATGTCATTGAAATTTCAGGCTTTTTTCATCATTCCCATCTACTATGCTTCAATATATTGGGTTTTTTTGCTCTTGGATGTATCTTACCTGATGATCACAAACTGGTTGCCACAGCTATAAGCATGATATCCTCACATAACTGGCCCCAAAGACAGAAAGGATGGGAAAATATTTCTCAGAAGAATTCTCCTATGTCTCACTGGCCAGAGCTGTGTACCATGACTACCCACAAGAGCAAGTAGTATTTGACTTTTTCATTTCTCTAGTGTGAGGAAAGCAAAGGAAAAAGACAAATGGTTGTGGAATAACCTGGCAAAAGTGTTTGCCACAGTGTGGCAGGGAGAGTGCAACTTGATGGGAAATGCTAGGATTCAGGGTCACCCCATCAAGCATCCCAGACAACAGGCCTGGACAACCAGACCAATTCTAGACCCCTGTTTCCTTGTGGGCATGAGGCTTCTAATACTCCTGTTCAGATGTCTCAGGGCCTGTATGGGACTAAACCTTTAATTGAAGGTTTTTGGCACAACATGTGTTTTTGGAAAAAAAAAAAAAAATTCTCTTAACCTAAAACTGCATGTATGAAATGCTCTGTTCATATAAGAAATAATGCCAAAGCCCACCTTTATGCCCTTCCAGGAGACTGGCTGCTGCCAAGAATTAACTGCCCATCTTTGCATCTATGTCAGCAACTTCCAGGCCTGCCCTGGCCCCACTCAGGTAAAGGGAGGCATTACCATCCTGGGGCTGCCATGCCCCTCCCAGTGAACAAAGTTTAGTGAAATTGCCCCTAAGACTCTGGCCTGCTCAGGTGCCCCTTGGGAGGCTAGCACCCCAAATTAGTTCCTGTGTTGGGCTTTGTAAGTGTCTTGGCAACTGAGTGTCCTGATAAACTAGATAAACCCTCTCCTGACAGATGCAATTCCAAATCATAGCAACGGTAGCCAGAGGCAATAGTCACGGCTAACATTTATGTAACATTTACTATGAGCCAGAAATGTGTTCTATGCCCTTTATGTGCCCAACTCATTTAGGCCTCACAACAACCCTGTGAGTAGGTGCTGTTATCATCACCCCATTTTACTGATGAGGAGACTGAGGCATAGCGAGGTTAAGGAACTTGCCGCGGTCACACAACTAATAAGTGACAGAGCCAGGATTTGAAGCTGGGGAGTCTGGCCCCAGAATACATGCTCTTAAGCACTATAGTGCCTCTTACCCAAGTAAATTTTGCAGTGCTTTGACCAAACACAGCAAAAGAAAAAAAAAAATGCAGCTGACAGAGACAGTAGGAAACATGTGAACATGTAAATGAAGAAGGAATGGTGGGCACTGTCATTCATTCATTCATCAGCCTCCAGGGTCTGGTGCTGTCATGGTAGGTCACGGTGGTACTCACTGGGCCATAAGAACCACTCCATCTGAACAGTAGCATGCTATGTTAATAAGAAGCCTAAATGGAGAGTGTTTAATCCAAATATTTATGAAAAGAGCAGTGTCCATAGTTGGGCTGTTCTGGGCCAGGCAACGTCAGACATGGCATATGTTACGATGGAGTTGTCACCTGGGTTACATTTAACATTCCCACATAATAGAGACTTTGTGAACTTTTTAAAATATATAAACAAAACATCTTGTTTCTCATGAAGTTACTTCAGAGAGATTTTATGACTGCCTGCCTAATGTTGACATGAAATAGCTTTTGTCTTGACTGTTGGAGTCATTAGGTATCAATATTTGAAACACAAAGGTCATTCCTATCTGTTTCAAGTACTTTGTGCCTTTTTGGGCCCTGGAGTACCAAATATAAAATTCTTTTTAAGGCTTTTTGTATATATAAATTTCATTGAGAATTTGTTTTAAAAGGTTACTCACTACTTTATAAAATATACAAAATTTGAGTTAAGATAAGAGGAATGTTTAATGAACTGATGTTTTGAGGGTGTAATGATAAAAGTGAATCTCCCTCTGACTTTGGCAATGCTCTGAGGTAACTCTTACTCTGTCAAGGGGAACACAAAAATTTTAAAAGCTCAAAATAATATTTAAACCTGGGTGTGGTGGCATGTACCTGTAGTCCCAGCTACTCAGGAGGCTGAGGGAAGAGCCCAGCAGTCCAAGGCCAGCCATGGTAACACAGCAAGACTTCATCTCTAAAATAATAATAATAATAATAAGATTGAACCTAAATCAAATGCTTAGGATTTGCTTCTGGATGATGTGTAAATCACAGGGCATGTAAACAATATATTTAGAAAAACAGTGACTCTCTAATGACATAATCCAATTCTTGGGCTGCTATTACCTCACCTTAGGCTGACTCACTCTAATGACTTAGAACGGTTGACATCAATGATATATGTAACAATCACCAATTATTACACTAATTCAATTCCTTCAATCATTTAACACTTGATTATGAGAAAATCAGCAATATATTAACAGAATGAAGACTTTGTTTTGCACTGCTAATATGGAAACTGAAATTTAACTTTTAGTATACAGTCTAAAAGCCACCAACTTAGAAGTTCCTTCTGGCTCTGATTTGGGATAAGGAATAGCCTCCTGTGAGAGGGTGGGTCACATGGAATGACACCCAGTAAGGAAGAACCTTCTAAGGCTCAGGTATGGAGCTCTCTCTCAAGATTAGTCCTATACAAAAGTATGAAGTCGGGAAATTTTGCTTATCTTCAGTCACTCAAGTCTCTTTCTCAGCCTTGACCCCATCCCCTCACCCCCCCCCCCCCCCACTCAGAGACACCTCAGACTCTTGCTACCCAAAGTGCAAAGGGCATCAGTTGCTCCTCCAACCCCCCCCCCCCCCCCCCCCCCACCTCTCTCCCTTGCTTCCTTTCTAGTGGAGAAAGGGATGGTCAGGGAAGGCTTCAAGGTCACTGTCACTTTTCTGAACTCCTGACTCTGATGTTCCATTTATCCAGGTTGATTAGATCTGTTCAGACACTAGTCATGCAACCCAGACTCATAGAATATAAATTTGTAGCAGCATTCCAAATTAATAGCTACAACAGAAATGTAGTTTCTAGGTAGACCAATGGATGATACATTCCCTCACTTGCAAGACAGACTGCCTACAAGGCAGAAGAAAACTGCAATAGTTGAGATAAGTTGTCTGTGGTAACAAACAACTCCAAAACATTCTAGCTTACAACCAGAAAAGAGTATTTCTCATTCACACGACATGTCTATCACAGCTTTGCTCCATGTTGTATTCACTTAGGCTGTTGAGGCAAAAGGAAAAGAAAGATATCAACCACAGGGAAGGGGCACTGAAGGAAGAGGGGAAAGAATATCTGGGGAACAGTAACACAGACTACCACAACAAGTAACGGAATTATCTCTTGTCAGCAGCAGAAAAAAAAGCCAAACTCTGTAAAATAATTTTAAAGATATTTACTCTGAGCCAAATTTGAGGACCATGACCCAGAGCCATACTCAAGAAGTCTTAAGAAAGTGGCTGGGTTACAGTTTGGTTTTATACATTTCAGGGAGACAGAGGTTACAGGTAAAGTCATAAATCAATATGTAGGAGGCATACATTGGTTTGGCCCGAAAAGGTGGGCCCTCTCCAAGTAGGGCCTTACAGGTTATAGGTGGGTTTAAAAATTCTTTGGCTTGTAATTAGTTAAAAACAGGAAGCTTTGTCTAAAGGCTTGGAATGTTTTAACATAAGGAGCTGTTTATCAGAGACAAGCCACCGGATATATATTTGTTATGTAAATTGAGGACCTGCAGGTGTGTCTTGCATACCCTTAGGTCTGTTAATGGGTTACAAAGGATGTCCCCAAGAAGGGAGAGGGGCATGATCAGGATGTCTGACCTCCCTCCTCCTGGCAGGCAATTCAGCAATTCAGCAATTCAGTGGGGGAGGAGGGGGAGAATAAGCTTTAAAATTTTATTTTAGTTCACACTCTCTAAAGAGTCCCAGGCTTAGAGTAAAGAAAAAAAACAGGTTCCACTTCCAGCTCTGTTGTCTAACCAACTCTCACCTCTCTGAGCTTCACTTTCACAATCAAAAAAATAAAGGGATTGGATTTTATGACTCTCAGGGTGCCTTCTAGCTTGGAGGCTGTGTGATCAGAGGCTCCTGGTGGCTAGAACCGGGACCCTCTCAACCAGCGAGGGCCTAGAGCACACCACCAAACTTTTTCTCTAAAAACCCTTCTGGCACCTTATGTGGGCCTTTAAACGCCTGATCTGAATCCCAGAACACAGAAGATAATTTGAGTGACTCTGTTCTCAATTCTCCCAAGGATACTTGATAACAAATACCATTCTAGAAGGTACTTCTGAGACAAAAGTTACAGGAAAGAAGTTAATTCATTGCAAACAATGGATGCCCACAGCACACTAAAGTCTAATTATCTCTTGGAATCCATTTGAGAAAGGCTGTAATTGTATCTTGTATCTTTTCTTTAGATTTGGAGGAACTCTGCTCAAGCCTCTCTAAACTTTGTGAGAAATTCCAAGCCCTCCCCAAATGTCTGCAGATTCCTAGGAGCTCATGATTTCTGGAACACTTCTTGATAAGATTTCCAGCTCTTGCTGAGTCTCATTCCCACATTTCTTTCTGTTCTGTTATCTTGTCTCTGCCCAAGAAATGCAGCTCTTTATCCTTCAACTACTTGAGGGCAATCAGCTATACCAAAAGCAAGAGAATTCGAAGTCATGTTGTCTTAGTTTGTTTTGTGTTGCTATAACCGAATACCATAGACTGGGTAATGTATGAAGAAAAAAATGTATTTCTCACAGTTCTGGAGGCTGAGAAGCACAATACCATGGTGCTGGTGGCATCTGGCAAGGGCCTTCTTGCTGCATCATCCCATGGTGGAAGGTGGAAGGTGGAATGCAGAAGGACAAGAGAGCATGCGCAAGTGTGCTCACATGCACCAGTGGGGAGGGGGGATGGGAGGAGAAGAAACTTTTTATCAGGAATCCACTGCCAGGATAACTGATCCATTGTCATGATAACAGTATTAATGCAGGCCTGGCGTGGTGGCTCACACCTGTAATCCTAGCACTTGGGAGGCCGAGGTAGGCGGATCATTTGAGCTCAGGAGTTCGAGACCAGCCTGAGCAAGAGCGAGACCCCATCTCTACTAAAAAATAGAAAGAAATTAGCTGGACAATAAAATATATATATATATATATATTAAAAAATTAGCCATGGCTGGGCGCGGTGGCTCACGCCTGTAATCCTAGCTCTCTGGGAGGCCGAGGCGGGCGGATTGCTCAAGGTCAGGAGTTCAAAACCAGCCTGAGCAAGAGCGAGACCCCGTCTCTACTATAAATAGAAAGAAATTAATTGGCCAACTGATATGTATATAAAAAATTAGCCGGGCATAGTGGCGCATGCCTGTAGTCCCAGCTACTCGGGAGGCTGAGGCAGAAGGATCGCTCGAGCCCAGGAGTGTGAGGTTGCTGTGAGCTAGGCTGCTGCCATGGCACTCACTCTAACCTGGGCAACAAAGCGAGACTCTGTCTCAAAAAAAAAAAAAAAAAAAATTAGCCAGGCATGGTGGCCCATGCCTGTAGTCCCAGCTACTCAGGAGGCTGAGGCAGGAGGATTGCTTGAGCCCAGGAGTCAGAGGTTACTGTGAGCTAGGCTGATGCCACGGCACTCTAGCCCGGGCAACAGAGTTAGACTGTCTCAAAAAAAAAAAAACCCAGCATTAATCCATTCATGAGGGCAGAGCCCTCATGATCTAATCACCTCTTAAGGTCCCACCTCTCAACACTATTGCACTGTCAATTAAGTTTACCACACATGAACTTTGAGGGATACATTCAAACTACTGCACACATATTCCAAAAGTTAAAACCCCCACTAACAAAATAGATGGTTAATGCTTTGTTCCCTCAGCATTTAATCATTCTGTTCTTCTGAGTAAATACTGTAATTCTCTTTCTTTTTATATAATTACCTAAACCTTATTCCTATTCTATTCTATTTACTTTGACTCCTCTTGTTTGCAAAATGTATATTTGAATTGCTCTTCAAAGCTGTATAAATTTGTTTACATATACAAGAGTCTGCATCCTTGTGGATCCCATCACAATTTCTGGAAAGGGGTGCGGTGGGAGATCTTGGATTGTACTCGTGAATAAGAGAGGCAGTAAAAGTGATGTGTTCAGAACTGAGGCACATGGACATTTGGCTCTGGTTTGCTGCTCTCCTCCTTTCTTCTCACATGAATAATTTTTAGTGAATGTCAAATGTTCTATTTCAAAAATGTTTGAGTCTGTGGTCTCATTTCTATACCAATTTCAACAGAAAACATTCCAAAAAAGGCATAGAAGTTTACAGCAAATACTGGATACTGGACGAGCTTGTTCTAAAAGTTCTCCACCCTCCTGCCACTGGAAATTTCTCATGGGTCTTGTTTCCTCACAGAACCTGGTCTCCAGTCATGTCATCTGTATACTCTTTCTCACTCTCATTCTCAGCCTCACTCTCACCCTAGTCCTTGTTTACTTGCTCACTTGCTTTCTCACTCTCTACACCTCTTCTCCTCTTTCCTCTGTCTTCACTCACCCCAGGAATTCCCGTCCATTTCTACATAGGCAGTTTTGCCTATATCTTTGTTGTCTCCTTCCATTTGATGTCCAAGTGTTTCATCTTCCATCTTCCAAGCAACATATGAAAGGATTTTAGACCTTCCCTAAACTCCAATATCAGTGAGTGTAATCAAATTTTCACTCTGCTGTGCTAGCTTAAAAGGAATCATTTGGAAGAGGTATAAATACTCTTGCTAGGATAGGTTTGACCCACCTTAGTAACCATGTCACCACATTTCCTAGTATTTAGGAAGTGGGCTTCCTGTCTGTTTTCAGTTTTCTTTTGTTGCATGCAAACTATTCCCAAATCTAGTGGCATAAAACAATGACCATTCCACTATCTTTCACCAGTTCCTTGGTTGACTGGGCTCAACTGGATCATTTTCCTGCTATACATGATGTCAGCTGGGACTGCAGTCATCTGGGATCCCAGTTGGTCTAGAACATTCAAGATGGCTCACTCATGTTTCTGATAGTAAATGCTGGCTGCCTGCTGAGACCTCAGCTAGGACTGTTGACCAGTGTACCTCAGTTCTCCTTCATGTAGCCTCTCCATGAGCCTGTGGCTCAGGTGTCT